GCAAGGCATTTACAAAACTGAGAGAGGAGTGCTTCAGAGCTTGATCTGTTCTCCCACTTCCCCCATGCTGTTGTTAATATATAACAGTTGTCATTTGTTTTCTCTTTTTTTTTTTCTTTCAATTGAAAACAAAATGGAAGTAGGCATGTAGGCTCAAGTATGCTAAGAAATACATTGAACTAGATTGATCTAAACTGTCATAAATACAGAGAAGGCAGCCCATTCTGTCTTGTATTTTAACTCCTACCTAAACCTACAAGTTTTTGGTTGATGAGCAAAACGAGTGAAATGTAACCAGAACATATTGTACTTGTATGAAAACTCTTACCGTACTCCTGTGTTGCTCATTTGTATAATCTCTGTTAATCGTTGCCATAATATATGCTTTCTTTTACCATTTTTCCACCAGGCTTCTTCTGAGTGTATGAAAAAATGCACACTATTTTTTTTAATACTGGTCTTTTGTGATGGTCCAACTTTTTACTGCCAGTGCAAATAATTAGAGCAATGTTTCTTTCTCTTACTAGAAGTTTTAAGTACTGTCAGTAAAATAATTATGTTGTAATTTGGGGATCATTTTAAGAATTAATATTCTTTAACATCATGAAGTTTGTAATGTTTTTTACGATTTTATTGTAATAGGCCATTTGAACTACAGCAAAGCAATTTTAATCCATGAAAAGAAAGTTTTTGGCAGTGGAACAAGTGATGAAAGAAATTGGAAAATAATTGCCAACCTCCTAGAGAGCAAAAACTCAGAAGAATTATAGAAACTCTGCATCTGTAAAACGAGTACAAAGTTCCAGTTAGTCACCATGTTAGGGTTATATCATCTGCTACATCTTAAAAAATGCCTTTGGATGTACTGTTTCTATCATTAATGAATGTGACAATAAACAACCAGCAGTGCTGTAAAAGCAGGAGGTCACAGCACTTAGCAAACAGTTAGGCTTTGGCAAGTAAAGAATTAGCTCTGCACCCAGTGGACTCAGAGGGAGGGACAGTTTGGGCTTTAATGACATGGACTCAGTTCTGATTTTGTACATCTGGGCAGGACACGCGTCCTTTGAACACTGAAGTCTGATTTCAGTCTCACGTGAAGTCAACGGTGGTAATTTTCATAGTAGTAATCAAAGTGAGAATTTCACCCATGATAGTCTTCACGTATTGAATTCAGCCTTCATATCTGAAAGTGTTGATTGGCATTTAAACTAGGTGAGGTTTATCTGCCTCCCCATCATTGGCATTCTGTATGAGTAATGTGTACATATATGCAATATCAGGCTGCAGGAGTGCAGATACGGCTCTCCTAAACTCCAAGCTCGGTGTTTTCCTAATTACTTACAGCCTATTGAGATTAAAGCGACAAGATCTCTTTTGTGTTAAACAAGAAGCTCGCATTCTTTACTGATGAGCTACTCTCCTCTTTCCTTCCTGATGATCAGTGGCAGCATTCCTGCAGCACCCCCCCCAAGAAAGCCTTTGTCGGTTGTGGCTGACCTAATTGTGCAGCCTGCTGGTGCTGTGCTGGAGCTGTGCTGCTGTGGCGCTCCTCTGGGCACTGCAGCTTCTGCAGCCCAGTGCTGGGGGAGTGCAGGGCACCGAAGGACCCCGCAGCTTCAGGTACGGATGAGATGTCACACAAGTTTTAGCAGGACTTGGAGACTGCAGGCCACGTTCTGCATCCTTCAAAATACTGCACCCCACCTGAAGCCGGTGCAGTGGGTTACAAGGTACTGAACGAAGAGTGTGGCGTTGTTATGCCTTTGGAAATGCAGGTAGTGTTCTGAGTAACAGCACTGTTTCAGTAACATGTTGTCTGTGGCAATCATTGTGTGCCCAGTCCTGGAGTATTTACTCAATATTCTGTGTCTTAGCCTGGATGTTTCATGTCTGCATAAGGACTTGAAGATCAGGGCCCAAACTGAAGTCATCTTAGTGTCGTGACAGAGAAGAGTGAAACAAACATTGGGATTTGTCTTCGTTCAACCAACGAATTACCTCAGTTGGCTGCCATCACTGTGGTCACACAGTGCTCGGTGTGTGGTATTGTTCCGCAGGTGTGCTCACTCTGAAAAAGAAAATCACAAAAATTGCAGAATTGCATCTACTACAATGTGTTACCCAGCGCGCTGTGTAAAACTGGAAAGTTGTAAAAGCTACTTTCTGACTTCCAGAGTCAAGACCACTCAGTAAGCTGGGGAAGGCTTTTTTCATGCTGTGTATTTACCCAGCAAGCTGCTTTGTCCCCATGCAGCCCGGCCATCTTCAGTTTGCACTGGGGGAGACTTAATCAAATGTGTAGAAGGAAGAGCGGGTTCTCACTTCATCCATCCAAGGATCACACCACCTAAAAACAGCTGAAACAAGGTTGTTAACATGACACACAACTTCAGCAGTCAGGTTTTAAGTGTGTGCCTTCATGTTCAGACGAGTAGTAGTGGCAATCAAAACGTTTTACCTCAGCCAGCAGCTCTGCTGACATGTGTTAACTATATTAAGAATTAATGGATCCTCTCAGTGAAAATAAAAGATGAGGGAACTGCTTTGACAAACCGATAGGCTTGAAGAGAGGGAGACATTTTGGCTTTGTGTGAGCACAGGGAATTTAATCATCGAATAGAAAGATGTCTTTCTCTATTCCCGTGTTTCAGGTTGAAGTTGTTGAACAAGGAGGTGCTTTCAGTGGACTGGATGACTCAGCTGCTGAGATCCAGGCATATCAGATAGGGATCGAATCACACATGGACCCTGATAATAAGAGAATTGGTTTTTATTCTGACAGTATGTGGGAAGAAGGGGCTGGAGGGTGGAGGATAAAACCAGTGAGAGACTAGGGTGTAGTTACTATCTATATTCCTGAGCAGAAAGATGCAGGAAATAATTGCAGGCAGGCAAAGAGGGGACCCATAAATGAGAGAGACAGCTCAGGAGGAAAAGCCTGTCTGTCACCTTGGTGTCGGGAACTGGAAGAAGGTTCTTTGTTATAAATCGTGCCAGCTACAGGGTGGAGCTCGTTTATGCTAGTAACAATAGATGTGGCCAGTATTACATAGAGGTCTTTTTGCATCAAAATATACTGCATTGTGCATTACTCCAAAACTTCCCATCTGCTTCCAATGTTTAACTTCCACTTGTGGCTTCTTTTCTTTACCATGCCTTACTTTGTTCTGTTTTCAACCTATTGTAGCTTTTACTGGTGCTTCTTGTTGTTTGATTGAAAGCCAAGTAGGCCATACACTCTTACCTGTTCATTTGCTGTCTATTTTTGTTCGTGCTTATTTATTGGCATTTAATGTCAAATTATTCTTATTTCTCCTTGATATTGGTGTTTTCCTAACTGTTACTCTGTCTTGGAGCATACTGTAATCCGTCAGTGACACATACTTTTTTTCTGTAACAGATATTTTTACATGGAACAATCTCTTGGATTAAATCTGGAATGTAGAGCTAATGTAACAGAAAATAAGGTCAAAGAAATCAAGTAACATTACTTCCAAAGTCACGATAGAGTCTTTGGATCATCTCCCATCATTAATATTAATGCTTGACAGCACTTATGACTTTAATCATGATTTGTAACCCTGTGAATTTTATTGCTTCTGCTGTCAGAAATCAATTTCAGTACTTAATGGCGTCTTGTAACCTCAGTCAAGGAGAATGTTGGTTTGATTTTTATTTTAGTTTTACTCAAGGCTTCACTGCTAAGCTACGCCCTTACAAAATTATTTCTATAATACTTTAACAAAGTTGTTTTCAGTTCCCTGACCTAAAGAGAATACTTTTATTTATAATGCAGAATTAGTTCCCCGTATTTATCATTTTCATTGACCTGTAGTTTCATGTGTAGTTCAAAAACTTGTAGATTATGACCTTATAAACAGTGAAGTGTATGTTAAATCTTAATCATACTTGTAGACATGGGACTTCTCATATAATTAACATCCACCACAACTGTCTGAAGGATCAGACCATAACCAATTCTGTAACCTTCCTTTTGCTTACTGAGGTTGAAGAAGAGAATGGAGCACACTTATAATTCCCAATTAAACATTCAGATTAGTCTTTATTGATTCCTCTTGATCAAAAGAAGTGTGTTTAGGCATGATGCTGTCTTCAGTCACTCTGAAATTATTGACCTTATTGGGAATTCCCCTTTAAAGGCATAATTGCAGGATGGAATCCAGAGTTGTAGAATTCCTAAGGGTAATAACAAAGTTGTATTTTTCACACATACAAAAAAACAAAAAAAAAAGTAGGTCATAGGAACCAAACTAAAGGAGAGCATAAAATGCTATATCTAATCATCTATCATCACTTGCAGTGATGTTACAGTTAAACATACAGAGGGCATATCCCTTGATCTCCTATATAAACAACTGAAAGTTGGAAAAGGTTCTGCTTTAAGTTGTCTACCTTTCTGTAACACTTACTAGGTTTTGTATACTTTGCAAAGAGGTGATTGTTATTCTCCCACTTAACACGTAGGAAATTGAAGGGTGGTAAAATAAAGTAACCCACAGAGTGGGCCAGCAATAAAAAAAACTAATTTACCAATTCAGTTTCCTAACTAGGAAATGCAGCTCATTTGTACTTCTGTATAGACTTCTTATGGGAATTTTTTATTTTATTTTTTACACACAATATCAGTTAAATTTATCTTCATGCTTCATTGGAAGGAGCTGAGACCTTGCATTTCTCTAATTCCTCAAGAAGCTGTCCCTAGAGAGTTGTTTCTTCAGAAAAGTAAGGAAGATGATACAAACATTAAAACCCAAACTCCACAGGACATGCATGGCAAAACACCTTTCTAGAAGTAAAGAAGGATGAAATTTTTGTCACTTTGCAAATCATCTCTGTCATGTATACAGATATTGAGCACCATTCTACTATTTCTAATGGATTTCATGTATTATTTTTCTAGTTGTAAAGCAATAGATCTGTCCTTGGTTTATTTGCTAATGACTTTCAGCTAACTTTCCTTGCTGTATTTCATTTAGAGAGCCTGCTGCCTGCACATGATAATGCTTATGCAGTGGATGACACGGTTATGGAGCTATCTGAGGTAGAAGAAACAGCATCAGAAAGCAGCTGTTTTGCATCAGAGGACACCACTGAAGACTCAGGTGTTGTGAGCTCCCCATCTGACATTGTATCTTTGGATTCACAAAATGACAGCATGAAGTCAAGAGACATCAAGCTGGTCAATGGCTACATGGACTCAGCTGAGGCAGATGCAATGTGTGGCACAGAGACATGCCCTGTAAAGAAGACCTCCTGCAGTAACATGGGATATGACAGTGCTCCACAGAGGTAAAGATTCATTTGCGGTTGGCTTTTAGAAAATATCTTGCATGTCCTCCTTGTAGGGAATCTTTTAAGAAAACCAACTTCTTCTTTCTTCTGCTCTTTCATAAACCACTGCCAATGCCAAGTGACTCCTCCCAGTGAAAAAACTCTCTGCCAAATCCCCTCCAGTAACATACTTGTAGCAACAGGCAAAGGTCACTTTTCTGTTTGAACTTGTAGTTACATTTCTTGCTAAAGACTGCTGCCCTCCAGAGTTAATTTCTCCAAGAAGTTTGAAATAATTTTGTTTCAGTTTGCTATATTTTGTGGTTCTGATATGAAGCACTTAAAATGATACTTTGTATTGATCTAGAAAAATTACATGCAGGTCATATAATGAAAAATGTGTAAAATGGAAAAATTCAAGTCATTGAAAACCAGGTAGAAAAGGATTGTGTTCAGTGAAATTTGGGGGCTTATTTGTGGGTGTGTGCATGCATATGTATGTTCAACTAATGCTAACCTCCACTGATGTTGTACCTTGTTTTTTTTTCTTTTTTTTTTTTTTTTCCCAGCATATTTCCTTTTTTTTTTTTAATAAATATTTTACTGAAGTTTTTGCAAGAAAATACGAGAACCTGGAATTTAACTAGAAACTGCCCTCAAGCAGAAGTGACTCTGACACTGTTTGTTTGCCAAAACTCACATAGTTGGTGGCAGGGCTGCAGAAGGAACCCAAAATTTATAGGACTTTGCAAATACAAACTGGCCAAATAGGAAGCTGTGCCTCCAGCAAGGAGGGTGGCCTGGTAATACTGACAGGGATCCGCTCTGTGTGATGCTGCAGAGTCATGGGACAGGGGCCAGAAATTCCTCTGAATTCTCAGTTGACACAAAGTCTGTGCTTTCTGGTCTCTCTCCATTCAGCTGCTAATCTGTAGCCCCTTCATAAGAACATGTATCATGACCTAGTTATTTCCTTCCACACATTTCTGAGGGAGAACTTCATCCTGGATCATGCAGTGGACGATAAATTAGGGATAAATTAGGGATAAATTAGGCCAAAGTCAGTATTTAACCTATTGGAATGATCTCAGGGCTTTTCTTTTCCCATCAATATCAAGGGGAACAAGGTCAAGTCTCATTTAAATACTTCTTCAATAATACATTATTCTCAGCATTTGTCCTTCTACAGTTTCTTAGGTCTTGATACAGTCTCTGTTTGGAGGGTTTGATAGGCTAATATAGTAGCTACAGTGAACCTTCCAGACTCGGTCTGAAAAATCAACCCTTTAATTTCAGTAGTAAAATAATTAAGCAGTAGCAACTTTCCTCAAAATCCAGGTTCTAAACTGGTTAGAAAAACACACATGCACATTTAGGGGAAAAAAAAAAAAAAAAAAGAAAAAGAAAAGATTACCATAATATTGAACAAAGACATCAAAGCATGGTGCTGTAAGAACAATCCTAATCAGTGGAAAGTACTTCAGACTTTTTCTGGTGTTTTGTAGTAAAATGAAAGATTGAGCAGAAGTAGTTAATTGACACACTAGCTCTTAAAAGTCAACGTTTTCTACATCTTTCACTTCAGAAAAAGGCAGATTTTCTTTACATTGCACTGACATTTGCCTTTGCTATACAAACACACAGAACTGTTAATATTCAGAAAAAGTATTTAGAGAAGAGACAATAGGAAGAGAGAAGAGTACTTAGGGAAGAGACAAAATTCATTCTCAAAATGCAAAAGTGGACCAGGTTGCCCAGAGAGGTCAAAGAATCTCCATGCCTAGAGGTTTTCAAAATTCAGCCAGACAAAGCCTCAGACAGCCTCATCTAGCTTTGAAACTAGCCCTGCTTGGACTATGCTACTAACCTAAATTTTTGTGATTCTAGCATTTGAAATAATCTGTATTTAACTATAATTAAAAAGGAGAGGTTTTAGGCTGGAAGAGGAGAAAGTTTTGTTTTTCAGGGAGTGAAGCTATTTTTCATGAATCATGTTTTTTTGGGGGGGCTCTGGGGCAGAAAAATTATTTCAGATTACCTTTAGGAGAGAGTAGCAGTTTAACATTTGTGATTGATTTTAGTCGTATGGCAGCAATCACTTAGGCTGCCACAGCAGAGATACTGGTAGTAAAATCTTTTAAACTTTTGTGCTCTGAATGTGCCAGCAGTGTTTGAAGGTAAATCCAGCTATCCCCCTAACATGTGTTTATAAACAAACCAGCTATGAAAATTGTGCTTTTCTAAATCCTTTTGAGGTCAGCTTGCTAAGTGTTTAAAAGTCACTTCATAAGTGTGGAGGGGAAGAAAAAATAGTTGTGTTTTTTGGTGATTGTTGTTTTTTTTTTTTAAAGCTATTCATATTAAACTCTTGTTCTGGTGGGATTTAAATCAATTCTGAGTACAATTTGGAGTACAGCCAATTTGGAGAACATCAACGTCAACTTCTGCTGTCAGAGCAGCCACCACCCCAATAACAAAATCTGTTGGGAGCTCTGAGATTATATGTAATTCTTGTGATGAATGGGCTACAATCAGGACCAACAAACCTTCTAAATTCCCAGACAAGTCAAAGTGCAGTTTTTATGAATAATCGATACCAACCTATACAGAGTATTAAATGTGTTTCAAAAGCTGCAGAACTTCAAGGAAAAATTTACATGGAGTTTCTTAATTCCTTTGTCTTCTTCCCTGTACCTAGATCTAACTCAATTCTAAAAAGAGGATAAGAACAAAGAAATTTGGAGAGTATGTCACTACTGTAGAGAAACAGTAGCTAGCAGCAGTGAATTGGAGTCCTTGAGTTCTGAGCTCCACTGAAGCCAGAAATTGCAGTGAGTGACTAATGTGGCCCAGACTTGGGGGGAAAAAAGTTAATAAGAATAATGGAAATATTTAGCTTATCACTTTAAACTATAAAGCTGACTAAAATCTGGGCTTTTCACGCTGTGAAATAACTGTAGTGCTGTATAGTAAAATCATTTTGTACTGTGTGGGTAATGAGAACCACCCTTAAAGTGGAAGCAAATTATATTTAGAGTGTGAAGAGGCTATAAAGAAAGACCAAGTGGTGTTTGGCATGTGCACCATAACAAACTGCAGTGAAAAGCATGATCAAGATCGTAGCTGTTAGAGATAGGTTTGCTACAAAGGCTTAGCCTGTGCTCCAGGAGATCATCGAGAGTATTTTACCACATAGCTTACTTTAGTTAATTGTGCATATATTTTTAAATTCATTTTTCTTAAAGCTTCTGGAATTGTTCACTGGCTGGCGTGGGTGGTCTCAGAGCAGCTGAAATACCTGATTGCTTTGGAATATCACAGCAGGGTCTGCACCTCATCTGCTACTGAACTTGAGGAAAGTTGTGAGTGTTTAAGGGTACAGGCTTCAATATGCAATAGGTTTGTCTTTGTGTAGCATTATAATAGTGTGGCCAAGGAAGAAATGGCATCTACCACAGGTTTTGCACACACAGAAATGAAAATTGCAACAGAGTTCAAATCTTGTTCAGTTCCCAGAGAACACAGACAAAAAAATTTAAAAGAAGGTCCCCATAGCGCAGGGGTTTCCAGGCTGGGTTTTTTCCTCCATGGTCTTGTTTTCCAGCACATGGGAGCCATTTGCACCTGCATTGTTCTTTGTTTTGTTTTGGGATTCTTGTTCAAGCGATCTTAATCCAAATACACCTAAGAGTTATCTTGTAGACTATCAAATCACTCACTCTACCTGCCTCTAACCTGTTAAACTATTTTTGTCGCTCTGCCTCTGATATTCCTGTCAGCCACTTACTGTTTTTACGGTAAAATTCTTCACACAGTTATCATATCTCATGATATGTTCACATAGTGCCTGAGAGCAGAATCCTGATCTCAGCTGGAGGTGCCACGGGCTAACCCCATATAAATAATTGACTACATGCAGCGTTGGGCTGTGAATGTTTTAATATTAACTGCTGACTCCCAACACTGTACAACATAGTTCTCTTTCTTCATATCCTTCCTTACAGTTGATTTGTGTTATGTATCTGTTCACCAAATTTTAATATATAGTGTTAAATGAGTAACAAGAAAACCACAGAGAAGCTGAAATGTTGCTTATGTAGCAGTAAGCACATCTCATGATCTCACAGTGTTGCAACCCTGTCCTCCCATACCCCCTCCTTTCCCATCCCTTGTATGGTGTCATCACGCAAGCTCCTTGGGGCAGGGATCAGTCAATTTTATATGCCTATAAAGCATCATGCACACCTACTGTCTGGAGCTTTATAAATAATTACACATTAAAAATTATTTTAAAATAATGTTATTAGGGATGCTAAGTCACATGCTCAAAGTTAGGTAACATTAATATTAAGGCTGTCTGGTTAACCTTAGTTTCCCCCTTTAACCTTAGTTTCCCCCTCTTTTGTGCAGTATGATAAAGTCTCTGGTTAAATGATCACAGTCTTTTGTTTTCTTTCTAAGTTTCAGAACTTACTTAACAGAGCAGCTATACCAACATTTGCTCTCAGTTCAAATTCTCTTCTGGAGACAGGATTATTTAAATTCCTCTTGCTTTTTCTATCTTACTCATCATGCTAGTATCCATGTGCCATGCAGACTTTAATTAATTTCTCTTCACAGTGCTCACGTGAGATGAAGAGGTGGCATTATCCTACTTTAGAGAAGGAGAGGTGATGCACAGAGTCAAGGCAGACCAGTGACCAGTTAGATCACACAGGACCCATTTTTTTCAGAGGACTGAGCATTCAAACAGCATTTCATGTATTAGGGTGCACCTCTCCATTTCCTTCAAACTCTCTTCTTCAAAGACACTTAACCATTTTGCTAGAAAGAAAATAATAGAATGATCATGGGCATGTTGTAAACTGTTGTATTTGGACTGGCACCTAGCAAAGATATATTATTTCTCAGAGATATGAGCAACTGAAATTGGGATTTTGTAAGGGCCCTTAAGAGTGAGCTGTTCTACCAGCCTCACTAAGGGCAGTAAAAATACTTAAAGTAAAAAATATTTTTTA